TATATATATATATATTGTAAGAATTGTTACTTTTACATATGAAATTATTTTATTTTAATAATTATGTATTTTAATGGTAATGATATTTTGTCAAGTCGGCGAGAAAAAAATTATGATTTCTCATTGCGTCACAGGAAATATCTGTACGCCAATGGTTTGTCACAGTTGTATAGTACAGCTTTCAGCATGGTTAATAATTGAATTAAAAAAGGGGGCAATTTTCAAACACTTGAAGTCTTAATTGATAGCCATCTGCCATGCTGATGGATTAACATTGATGTGTTCTTCATCTGGTTATTTTCTGATAGTGCTAAATTTTAACTGTCACTGAATATAACACACTTGAATGCATACATGAACTTGACATATGCGCATAATAATTTAAGATACTGGTACATGTACAAACTGTCAGATGTTCTCATAGTTGCTGGCTTATATATGATATGATTGAACACAACTGATTTTAACCTCTGATTTTAGCTCATGAAATTTAAATATTTACAGTCATATTCATGTAAGGTAAACTTTGATATCATGATATACACTCAATGTGATAAAATTGTTTTTCAAAGGACATACTCAATTTTTAATAATTCATGCGCTATACACTATTCTATATTTACACTGTATGTGTACCTAAATTCTAGTGTTAGTAAATCAATGTAGCGTAATAAAGACTAACAAGACTGTATTTATAACATGATGACGTTACTAATCTGCAGAGCAGTACTTCGGTATTGACAATGTACAAGTAGGGATAACATTAACACTCGTATATGTCCAAGCACCAATATATTATCTTATATAATTTCCCCATAAAGCCTGTTTCACCTGCAGATTTACACTTATTTACCTGATTGAGCAAAATATTTTCTAGTTTTAATTTTAGCACAGTTACCTTCTTAAAGACTTGACATACATAACATACCTTCTTACAAAATATCCAGTTGAAGATTGTTCATAAATCTTTCCTAATTAGTTAACTAACACAATTTTGAGATTTAACATAAAATTGTGTAAATATTCATAATTTTATACACCAAAAGTACTCAATGCCTTCTAACCATCAAAGGGTCATTTTGCAGAGCACTCCATTACACATGTCACCATTGAGGGCAATTTTCATACT